GTGTGTGTGTGTGTGTGTGTGTGTCACTATGACTTTGTGGGGCCTATGTGTCTTTTGCCACTTCTTTCAGAGTCGTCCCCTCTCTTCGTCCCCTCTCTTCATTACATTCTGTTTTCTTTTGGTTGCATTATGGTTTCTGCACATCTTGAAGAGTCTCCCCCCTCCCCTCCCCTCTCTCTCTTTATCTTCCGTTCTCTCCTCTCTCTTGGCAGAATCCTTCTTCTCCCCTCCCCCATTGCTCCCACCCCCCATCATCCAAATGGCCCTCAGGTCAGGACACAAGATGGTCAGTGGTGTGTTTGTTTATCATCCGGTGCATCCATGGTCATTGTCTTTCTGTTTTCAGAATGGCCTAAAGGCCCTTTGTTCATCCAGTTTTGAATTTATTCATTCATATATGGAGATTTAATGTGAAGAAATTGTTTTTCTATTTCAATGGGTTTTATTCCGAATATCAGAGTGTTTTCTACTGTTGGAGGAAACAACCTGCAGGGTTCTGTGTTGTTCTCAGTGTGCATACGGCCGTTGGCTTGTGCTTAGACACTGCAGATATACAAAGTGTGGTATCATCTATGTACCACTTAATGTGCATTGTGTGCATGCATGTATTAATTATTGTTTTTTTTGGCCCAGAAAGATCACAGAACATTAGACAAAGTCGTGCTTTTGAATACAATGCTTTTTGTAAGAATAGATCCTGGTTCATTTTCCAAAACGGGGTCTCTGCAGACTATTCTCATTCGGTTTGGAATAAACTCCAGTCATCGCTTTCTTCTCTCCTAACTCCTATATAGCGCTGCTCAGCACTGCCTGCAGTGCTCCACACAAGCACGACTGCTTAAAGAAAGTTTCTCCGCTAAAATCTGGATTATTTATTATTGTGGAAATGCCTCTGGCTCTCCTCTGAGACGCTTCCTGGGGCTCATTTCTCAGCAGCCACCCAGCTGTAAACCGTCTCTCGTCTGTGTGCACCCAGAGGACCCTGCAGAGGGACGTGTCACGCACAGGCACTGTGGATGGTAATTCTCTCTTTCTTTGCTACCGTCCAACAGCTTGTACAACAGATGAAACTTACACACACACACACGGCTCTGCCTCCCTGGTACGCTTCACTGCAATGTCAGGTAGGGTTTCTGCCCGTAGAGCTGCAGGGCTCAGATTGGAGTCCTTGAATCCTTGGCTCTAGTTTCTTGCATGGAAGGTTATGCCTTGATGGGGCTTGTGGTTAGTGTGGTTAGGGCTGTGTGTGTGTGTGTGTGTACAGCTGGATGAGGGTAGAATTTGGATTTCTGCCTTTATTTCCCAAAACATATTCCTTTTCAAATGGCTTTTCCAGGCGCTTATTTTCTATGGCATGTAACAGAAGACAAGCCACACCAATTGTCTCTCTTCCAAGGTCTCCTGTTTTCTTTCATCACAGTCTGAAAGCGCCGGGAGAGAAAGAGAGAGAGAGACGGCACAAGAGAGTATTACGGTGGTAGTCCTTGGCTCTCTGTGTGTGATATCACATGGCGGTGGCCTGTGTGGAGTTTTCCACAGTGAAACTCATGTGTGTTGTTCGTCAAGTGTTGAGGAATTAAGTGTGTCCTCAGAGGGGGAGAATGGATGGTTTACTTCACGCATATTTTCCACTCTGCAGGGAAATATGTCAGCAATGTTATTCAGAGCTGGATCCGTGCTTGTGCTTTACAGGTTCTTCAGACCGTTTGAGTTAACATGGTGGAGGCAGACGCTTTCATTTGTTGAATGTGGCATACTAGAAGTGACAGAAATCTTGGTCGTGTCAAACTCCCTTCACATATGCGAAGAGTTGCTCGTTTTTCTAAACTAAACTAAGCTCATACAATCTTGATTGGGTGACACAGAAGGTTCACTGTGACTTTGAAAAGGCATCTTGACCAAAAAAACGTCACAAAAACGTGTTTGAAGAGCTTTCAACCACATCTCGAGGCCTTGAAGTTGCTCAATTGTCATGGAGGTTGTAGATATATTATAGATATAATACACGACCACCTGTTAACAACTAAACCATGTCCGTAAGGCTGAGATAAAAACAGTAACACACACACACCACCTTAGTTTGAGTTTTCTCTCTACCACCATAAATGCGCTGATGGGAAGAAGGGGATGTTGCCATGGAGACACAGTGCTGTGGCAGCCAGTAATTATTCCGGTTTAAGTGCCGGCAGAGACACGCGGGCTGGCACACGGTGGCAGATGTAGTGACACCTGGACACGACACCAGATGAGGAAAATCAACAGGTGTTAAGTCATGTGAAGGGTGGAAGACCCGGCGACGTTTTTTTACCACGCGCAGACTCGACATCGGGAGATCCAGGTCAAAATGTATGAATCTGTATCTGAATGTACAAACCCGGTGTAGTGGTGAAGATCCAGAAGTTTGTAGACTCGGCAGCTTGGAGACACAAGTATGTGTGTCCATGATGTTAAACAGTGTGGAGAGTACAGTCAATATCATGAGTTATATGATACAGTTCAGAGATGAAGTCATGGTTATTATCCTCTCAGTAGTCAATACAGTGGACATTGTGTGTGCATGTGAGAGCGTATTGAAGACATGGCTGAAGGTGTGTGTGTGTGTGAGAGAGAGTCTGAGTGCTCGCAGGCAGCCTGTTGTCCAATATGTACTTGATATGAGTATTAAAAAACACAAACATGCTCACTGTCCCTCACTGCTCTCCCACACACTCACACGCTTGCCCAGTGTGCGTTCATGCATCTACACACACACGCACACACACACACACGCACGCACGCCACCCTCCAAGGATAATATTCGGCTTCTACCTAGCAGTAATCCCCCCCCCCCTCTCCCTTCTCATTTTTTATCTTCTCTCTTCCAGGCGAGGCCGTCCTGACTAATCATCCAAGGTGTCAAGGTAAGGTTGTGTTTTGCCTCTCACACTGATAGCAACATGAGCCGCGGTGTATTTTTTTCATTCGGGGTAAAAAACAACAACAACCGTCATTTCAACATAAACAGGAATTCCTCCGTGTCCTCTTGAAGAAGAAGTTAAAATTGGCTCCTGCAGCTCCTTCTGATTCACCACAAAAACTTCCTCCCTGCTAGAGCGCTTCCACAACTCCCACACTCCCCAGTCACATTAGCATGAGCAGAGAGACACAATGGAGTTTTTCACCACCGGCACTGAATACACATGTTCTGTATACACACACACACACACACACATATACACACACACACACACACACACATATACACACGTTGCTCCAGACTGGAGTTCGGCTCATGCACACGCCCTGAAAAAAATAAATTGTCATAACTTGTCACTGTCTCCCGATCCTGGCTGTGGGCTGATTGAAAGGAGAAGGCCATGCAAAAAGAGGGCAGATAGGTAGATGCTCACTTCCTTTCCCTTTCAATCATCCTGCAAGCATCTCTCTTTGCTCATCGTGCTCCACATTGTCCGCCCTCCGTCTCTATCGTGCACTGCGCTGCCATCACATGCACACACAGGGGTATACATCCACTCCACGTTTATTTGTTTGTGGAGTTTTCCCTAAGACTCAAGTGAAGCACACAAGCTCATCTCTGCCTCCCCGCGCTGTGAGTCACCCGCTAAAAACCCCACACAGCCCCGTAAATCAGCCATGATAACATCGGGGATTCCACCAGCGCAGCGAGACCCAACTTTGGATGTCAGACGGAGACGTGATGAGGTTGCTTATGCTGTGCGCAGAGCCCCAGATGCCTTGTGGAGGCTTCTGGTGTTGAGGGCCACTGCAGCAGAGCTGCACTGCAGTCTGACTCTGCTTTGTGCTGCCACCTGCTGGCCATGTCGGGTCACAGGGTACAGTTGAGCTGCTGGTTATTAGTAGATTGTTATTAAAGCTTTTGTTCTGTATCAGTGAATGTTAAGTAGTAAACAAAGCAGCACGGGGTAGTTTTTACTGGCAGTAGTCAGATAGAGGGTCGTGTTGTTACTAAATCAAGTCAATCCAGTTTGTTTGCTTGACAAATAAGACACCGTTTGCCGGATTGTATTGTTCAGTAAATTGTTGTTATCCTCAACCAACAATAATCACTTTGAGTTCTTTCCTCGACATATTTAGTCTCACATAAAGTAATATAATGTGGACTTTCCCCCAGATTAATTAGCTCTAGTCTGTTACTGTCTCTCCCCTAAAGAAGAAACGATCCAACTAGACAATCATTGCTGGTACATTTTTAAATTGTGTTGGCAAATAGCTGAAATTAAAAAAATTTGAATGTGTCGTTTTTTGTTTTATTTGCCGTGTTTCCCCAGACGGTACCTGTCCGATGTCCTCTCCCCCCACAGTGTGATGCGTCATGGCTCCGGTACTGACAGGAGTGTGGTGGGGGCCCGAGGCCGGTGTCGTCGGGTCCGGGGCGGCAGCGGCTGCTACCGGGGTAGCGTCGTGGCCGGGCAGCGGGCAGCTGGGCCTGGTCATCACCCTCAGCACCCTCACCTCCCTGCTGCTGGTCTCTGTGCTGCTGCTGCTCTGTGCTAGCTGCCAGGGGTGAGCACCATCTCTCACACACACACACACACACACACACACACACACACACACACACACACACACACACACAGGACTGACCCATATTATTGTTGTTAGACTACTTCAGGAAAGGTTGTCGGGTTGTACGTGCCGTCAGCTATCAAAACTGAAGCAGTAGAGCTATATTGTCCCTGAGGGCCAATTTTGCTTAAAGCAGCGTGAACACGCAGAAACTAGGAGACAACCCTGTGATACCAACTTTTTAAACAAATTACATTTTGTCCAAAAAGCCAATAGCTGATGGAATAAATGACCTTGTATACCTGGGCAGATTTGGAACCTCAAACCTGAAGACCAGCACTTTTACCTCATAATTATTGTTTAATTTAAGACAAGAGCCAAAACAACGAGGCCTGCAACAGCTTCATTTAGATACAAGCGAGATTTAACAATAATGCTAACACACCAAATAGTACAATATCAGGGCTGCCTGGTGTTCTCCGTGCTCCGCAATCATCCACCGTTCGAACCTCTCATCTCTCCTTCCCTCTCTCTTTCCAGGCAGAAGAAGGCAGTCAATGGACATCCAGCAGGAGACCACGAGAACCTCATGAATGGAGTGAGTTGGACTTCGGGGCTATTCTTGCAATAGCACATGCATGAGCTGCAAACGTTGAAGAAATAGCTCTGATAAATACGCTTAACCTCTTTCTCGACGAGCTACATGTGGCTCTCCAGCCAGCAGCGGCTTAGCTTAGCATAAAGACCGGAGACGAGAGGAAACAGCTGGCCTCTGTCTGAAGGTTATAAAATCTGCCTAGCAGCACCTCTAAAGCTCGCTGCTGTAGTTAAAACGTTATTTCTAGTTTGTTTAATCCACACAAAAACCAAAGTGTTTTTTTTTTGTGTGGTTTTATGAGGGGTTATGGATTGGACTATTGAGTCCCGGGCAACCAGCAAAGACTCCCTCAAAATGTTGAATTATTCCTTGAAGGGAAATCAAAGGCAATATTGAAGCATCTCAGAGCTTTTATGAACAAGCCGTCCCTGAGAATTCATTTCTAAAACTGTGATTAGGTTTCAACTTTTGCTTCTTGCAGGTTTTTGATGTATCTGTGTGTTTTTTTAGATGCGGAGGGGAACAGCTGTGGGTTATGAGTCAGCTTGCCACAGTGTCACAGGCAGATTAGTAATTGCATGCGTGTGAACACACATACATGTGCATTTGCTAAACGTTCACACTCTCACACACATATGCAAACAAACGTGTAGATGTGTTTGTTTTTTTAAGATTAGGTCAGGGTTCAATAACATCTTTGGGATTCTAGGAAACTCAAGCTCAATAATTAAATCTTATCGCTGGAAAAAATATTTACTCATATCAGTTCCTTCTCTTAAACAAAAGCAATTACGTTGTGTTGCAGATGGAAGCATGCATACACAGCGAAACACACACACACACACACACACACACACATACACACACACGCACACACACACAGTCCTCATTAGTCCCAGCGTGTGTGAGTGACGTGTCTGTAATCAAGCAGTGTAACCACCGCTTAATGAGTGATAGCGCTCCCACATTGGCTGCACGCCTGAATAACACACGCATATCCTGACACACACACCCACACACTCTGACATTTTCCTTCTAACCCACTTCCATCGCACTGACACAGAGACATACACAAAGCAAAGCCTCCCCACACACACACAGCTGATTGACAGCCTCCAGCTGTTAGTGAGATTGTTTCTCAATGACGAGGAAATGAGCACTCGTGGGAAAATCTGCTATTTTCACATCATGTCGTTATAATATTGTACTTCTCTTTCTTAAGTCAACAAAAAGAAGATAATGTAATTCTCACTATTTATAGGGTTGACCTTTCTATGTATGTTCTCCTCATAATGACACTATGTCCTCTTGAACATCGTGTCATAGTTATTACCAACTCCCGCGATACAGACGCTTCAGTAACTAAGCAACATTTAAGTGTGACAAATGCCCGGCTTTCACAGACTAAGTGACATCCACTTTACTCTTATCCTGTCACTCCCTCTGGGGTTTTATGTGTGTGTGTGTGTCACCTTACATGCTCCCATGTGCACATACAGATTCCTCAGAGCCTCTTTGCGTTTGATGGATACCTTCCCTCTAACCTGCGAGTGCTGGGTAGTCAGATTGTTTCAGCAGGGGCCCATTTAAATGACGGACCTTGTCACAGCCCGATAGGTTAAATGGGGTTCTTTGTCTTTTGCGAATGAGGAGATTGGCTCTCCTCGCTCACCCGCAATCTGTCCGACTGTCTTCCCTGCGGCCACGTCCCAACGCGGTGAGGGACCTCTCTCCCTTTCCTCCCACAGTTGTTCAAATTTGTTTAAATATCATGCAGTCTTGATCTAGACTCATTCTAAATTTTGCGAGGACTGTGTGAGGCGCTTTGGATCCCCATTACGTTTACAAAATGCTCCGGAAATCTAAAACAATTTGAGTTTAACATTCGCTCTGTCATGAGGACCCTGGTCTGGATTTGAATGTGGGAACAAAATGAGAAAAGAAAGAATGACTCGAGATATTTGGGTCATAAAATAGTTAAAAGATTACATCATGGACCCCGATAGTTATGAGAGCATTCGGCCACTAGGTGGGGTTGTGGAGCTTCTAATACACAACCTCCTGCTCACACAGAAGGACAACAACAAACCTGAACAAAGAGAATCCTGACTTGCAGTAGTTAATGTGTTTTCACAGTTTCCCTTTCTCTCTTAGTAGCGAGTGATGGAGCGATATCTTTAACTTCAGAAACAAGAAGGTTTATCTTTCAAAGTGCATGTTGATGAATCACGCCTCAATGCGGCAGGTGCTCAGCACATGCGGTGTTGACTGATGTAGTTTCTCGCTGGTGGAGCGGATTTGGCTGCTGACTTCGCCATGTGACGTAGCAAATAGGAAAACATCCTTTAACTGGAGGACATGGTTCAAAGACTGTCTTAAAAATATGTTCTTGTCCTTCAGCAAGACTGAACCCCTGCCAGTTATTCCCTACGGTGTTCTGTAGCTTCGCCTTTTTCTGTAGAGGGAGGGATAGTAAAAATACGGAAATGTCCCTGTGGGCAACCACAAAGTATCATCTTCTGTGGCGTTTCATTTTTACTCTTGTGCCTCTACTAATGCCTGTCAGTTTATTCTTAGTTGCGTGCTTAAAGTCCTGACTTGGTTTCAGTGTCTCTTATTAGAACCTAAGTGACACTAGAAACATGAAGTGAAATGTGTCCATGCAATCCTTTTTTGACCGCTTCGTATTAAAAGACAGATGTCAGGTCACAAACCCAATTACAGTAGACCGATATAAGAAAAAACAGCACTGTAACGTCATTAGGCGTACATCCGTTTTGTTTTACTCTCGTGAATAGTGTTCGCTGTCTCTAGATGGCTTTTGTTGGTGGGTAAAAATACACTACATTTAATTAAGCATGCGTAACATACTCCTAATGAGCGGAAAGTAATCAGTAATTTGATTGGGAGAGCTAAGAAAAGCAGAGATAAAGAACAGAGAAGCGTGAAAATTGCAATCAGTGCTGCAAATATGACAGTTCACCAAAATCCTGAAGATTATTTTCCAAACACATGACAATCTGCTGACAGTGGCGTTTGTGTTGCACAGAGGTGTAAAAGTGCAGATTGGTTTCAGTTCCTTTTAGAAAGTAAAATGTGTTGTGTGATGTATAGTTTGTCAGCTCTGAGTTGATCTGTCAGCCTCTGAACTCAGACCAGCCGTGACAAACAACCCTTTTTTTGTTTTGTTGCGCAGGTATCAGAGAGAGAGATGATCAGCCAATCAGCAGACAGTCCAGCAACGGACGTGGCCATCAGCAGCTCTCATAATGGTCCTCTCACCAGCGGTACAAGTAAGCCAAGATAGTTAGCTTTAACGTAGCATGTCGTGTCTGCGTAGTGCATTGAGTCAACTATTTGAACTCTACGGTACTGATATCAGAGTCACTGCTGTCCTTTACGTTCAGAATTCAGCTGCATGATGATAACAGTAGCAGCTTTGGTTCACTTAAAACCTCATCAGGTGTTTGTTTTTATGCACAAATATATGTATTGTTCCTAGGCATTTATACATGGGTGGTTACTAAATATCACTAACAGAAAACTGTAAATAGTAATGGATTTATTCTGCAGTGTTGAATCAGTAAAATTTGTCTAATGTCAAGAAAATGCTAAAAAAAAAAGCTCTCATAAAAAACACATTGAAAGTCACCAAATGAGAAGCTTTTTACTCGCCCTTATTCCCTCCGTTTTGTTTCCCTCTGCTCCACCAGTCCTCACGGACACACAGGACACCAGTCCCCAGCCATCAGAGGAGATGCTCTCCAGCCAATCAGAGCTCAGGTCCTCCAAGTGTCCTCAGGACCGTGAGCTTCCCAGCATTCCTCCCAACAACGCCCTTATTGGGGACAGACCCCCAGCCTCAGGGGACAGCACCTATGAGGTCAATGTTTAAAGTCACCTTACCAAAGCCCAATCGTGTTTTTACTTGCACTGAGCTCGAATGTGGCTGTTACAGGAGAGTAAAGCTGTGATTGGTTGAGCTCAGGTTCAAAACATTAAGGGAAATGCTTTTTCCACAAGATGCTGATTGATTTATTCAGTTTACAGATAAATAAAACGGTAGCATTAACTGTATTTTCTTATGTACAAGCATATTAAAGTATGCGTCTGATATCAAGGTGGTGAAGGAGATTGCGGTGGCATCCCGTGACGTCAGCGTTGAAGACTCCCTGTACGAGACGGTCAAGGAGCTCAAAGACCCCCCCGCTCAGCTCGGCCTCCCCGACGGTACCATCGAGCTGAGCCCCGACGAACCTCCCCACCACCCCGCTGCCCTTCTCAACGGCCACCTCAGCCCCTGCACACCTGAGCGGGGGCCCCTGTGCGCAGGGGTGGAGTACGCCTCCGTCAACCTGAACAAGAAGAGTCGTCACAGCGCCGACATGGAGGCCAAAAGGCGCCCTGATAGCGCCGGCGTTCCCTCCCGCAAGCCTCTGGACGAACCAGAGGAGGATCTACCTCCGCCGGTACCAGAGAAGGTTCTGGATGAAAATGACAACCAGCCAGTGGTGATGAATGGGCTGGCCGGGGCTGGGCTGCACAATGGAGAGGTGAGAATGGTGTGCGTGTGTGTGTGTTTAGGCGGTCAACATTTGCGTAGTGCAGGTTGATTCCTAATTTAATAGAACAGATAAAACCTCCATTAAAAGAGCAATGCAGAAGCTGAAAACTAATTAAAAACGCAATCGGAAAAACTTTTTTAAATAACAAAACATAAGAATTTTAATTATTTATTTTCAGCCATATTATGAGATTCTATCTGCGAACAGACACAAACCCAGTTAGCAGCAGGTCACTAAAATGTTCATCAGATAGCTGGAAGCCTGAACCTCCTTCATATTAAAATGTTTGGCAACAGTAGCATGAGCTGTGTAATTAGCTGTCGAGGTAGCTAATGGTAAAAAATCCAGATAAAAAAAAAAGACTCAATTTACTTGGCATTTATATAAATGTCATTCATAATGTTCATCTACTACAACACTGTAAAAGATCAATATAGCGAGACAAAAACCGAGGAGAACAAAGAAAACGATGAGATGTGTCGCCACTGCAATTATCATCTGCTAAATTACATGCTCGGTGCTGCTTTCGGGAGGGTGACAGACTGAAATTTGAGGGAGAGGAAATGGTGTAGCAGGGAAGGGAGAAGAAAAGAATGAAGTGGGAGCTGGAGTGGGAAAAGCAGGCTAGAGTAATAGACAAAATAGAGATAGTGACAGTGAGATGATGGGAGAGATAAACTCAAAAAGAGCTGAGAGGACCCCGAGGCATAAAGGGTGAGAGAGAAACCGAGTGAAGAGTGAGAGGCAGTGAGATAGAGAGAAATAAAGCAACAAAAAAAAACTCCCAGCGGCATACAAATGAAGCCATCTGTACTAGAGAGAAGATGATGATGAAGAAGAAGAAACTGTCTTGTAGACAGAAAAAGAGGTGAGAGATGGAGACGTAAAGGAAAAGAGAGCGAAGAAGAGTCAAAAGAGGTGGGGAGGTAAAGAGGTGAGGTGTCATGTGCCGAACAGAGCAGAGCTGCTGCTGCTGCTGCTGCTGCTGCTGCTGCTGCTGCTCTCAGCATGCTGGCATCCACATGCCGAGATCCATCAGAGAAACACACACGAAGCAACAAACGTACACTAACACACTCTCACAGCCCAGAAAGAATTGCATCAGACTGTTAGAAGCCGACAAGTCAATCTGCCACAAAGCTGCATGTGGCTCATATTCACTGCTCCTTCTCCTCCCGGGGCACAACTTTCCCTTCTCCTATTTTTAAGGGTGGCAGTGATGGTTGGTGTGCCAGTCGCCCACTTTGGTTTCAGATCACAACAACCATTGGATGGATTGCTGTGAAGTTTGGTGTAGATACTCGTGGTGCCCAGAGGACGGATCTTCATCACTTTATTGATCCCCTGGCTTTTCCTGTAGTTCTTTCCTTTGAATTTTGACTATTGGAGGTATTGAGGTATTGACTTTGGTACACACATACGTTCATTGTCAAAATTTGAATCTCCAGTATTTTTGATTAATGACCAAATACCTGCAAAACTATTGATCTTCATGTTAGTATGCGGTGGTTAGCATTTAGCAGTGCTTGAGTGCAGCTAAGAGCTGCTAGCATCACAGTCAACAGACCGGCCTCCTACTTCAACTTTGACCTACTGTACTGGCCGTAGATGTGCAATGAGGATTTAGTACCAACAGTTCAGATGGTGCTCTCATTTCTGGTTCTATCTTCAAATAAAGTGGTTTAGATAATCTGGTTACAACCGGTCTGGTTGTCTGGACTCTTCCTTCTTATTCCGATGACCTCAGACTATCCTTTAAGATGTACTTGGTTCTCTTTTCCTCTCTCCATCTCCTCCCCCTCGCCATATTTCTCTTCTTCTTTGACTCACATCTCTGTTCTCTCTCCTTGGTGTCTGCTGTTGTAGCCAATTAGTTAATCGCTGCTGCGCAATTGGACAGCAGGCGCGTGTAGCCTCATCTGACCCCCCCCCCCCCGAATCTATGATACGATACACTGAGCTGTCGTATATATATATCGAAAATGTACTCATTTATAGATGCACCCACGTGTACCTCGCTGGCATGTCTAGTCAGCATTAATTGTGTTATTCCTCCCCATCCCCCACATTACACACACACAACAGACGACGACGACGTGTGTGTGTGTGTGTGTGTGTGTGTGTGTGTGTGTGTGTGTGTGTGTGTGCGCTTACATATATTCTGCTCCACATAGACTCCCCGGGGCTGACTTAAGGTTAACCCCGAATGTTCCCGGCTCCCCGTTGTTTACGCCCGTGTATGACCAGGAGCCGTCGGTGATTTGTCTTGTCAGACCGAGTGTGTGTGTGTGTGTGTTGTGCATGAGCCTAGTGAGCGCCAGCTGGCCACTATTACTATGACAGTCTGGCTTTATGATGGATGGTATGGGCTATAGGAACTCTCGCTCTGTCACACACACACACACACACACACACACACAGCCTTGCATGTAAATGTCCGAGAGGAATCCCCTCAGGTAGCAGCTCGGCAAATGCGGCTCATACACACAGAGGCAGGCGTTCTAATATACACACATTTTTCCATGCATGCACCCAACATTCACCGCAGAAACACGCACAAACGCACACTCGCTCCTCTATTTGGGACCTTTCATTCACAGCCTCTCTGATCCCGCGCATTTATTGAACCGCCATAAATGGCAGCAACAGTTGTTTGCAGTCGTTTGCGTGCTTGTCGCCTGTGGGCGACGAATGTGCAGGCGCAGGAAATGAGTTTGACCCAGGGCTGCAGGGATTTACACCGGGGACACGGTCCAGGTAAACTGCCATAGTCAGCACCATTGAGTTGCTTATCGCTTAAAGGGAATGACTATTTTGAGTATGTAATATGTGTGTGTTAGTGTGATATCGTGTCATCATGTCAGTTGGTGTTCATGCGGTCTGTACATACTATATCAACAGTTTGTTTGGAGTTGTTTGTGCTCTTGAATGAGGATTGCAGATAATCTGAGTTGATGTACTCGTACCGATTTGTATGTGCGTGTGTCAACATGCACGTCAGCATGATTGACACATTGACACCTGAGTCGTCCATCTTCTGAGGCCGCTGTAATCAGCTTACTGTCATTCTCGCACGTCCTGTACGTCATTATGTCTCTCCTACGTACGCATAAACACATTCCCATAATCCTGTCTCACTTACACAAACGCACGCGCAGAACCCATCGCGTCTTATTGTAACACGTCAAAAATATGAATCTCTCAGATGTGTGTCGACATGACAACAAACGCCCAGCCACACGCTGTTAATGGGTCTTTATGGTCGTTAAATATGCATGAAATAAAGTTTTAAGACTCAATTCAATGCCCATATGCATCAAACAGAGGTTAAATACTGTGCTTATTGCTGACTGTCTGACTTGACGAAGTGAAAATCTCTCTTCAAATTGCAATGACGCCTCTGCCAAGAACATGGAGGCTGCAAATTAGATGAACAAATATTGTGAGACGCACTCAGGGGTGCAGCGACCGGGTCAAGTCACCTGCGTCCATGTTTCATACGCACTCTGCCTAATTTGGTCGGCTAATTGAAGCAAAATGAAAAAGAGGGCGTGTTACAGAGTGTGTGTATGTGTGTGTGTGTGTGTGTGTCGAATCTATAAATGTTATCACGTGTTCAATCATGCGTTATCCATAAAGCAATGACATTGATTCAGGCGTTTTGAGAAAATGCCAGAGAAACGTGTCTGCACGAAGAGATACTACGGCACATAGCTGGAGCGGGCGCTTTGATGGATGATCTCTGTGCACATTTTTTTGTTTTGTTTATTCAGTACACAAGAGCGTAGCATGTGTGAGGAATGCGCCCTTGACAAGCACCAAGTAGTGTGCCTCAACAAGTGGACAGCTTTCCCTTTTTTTCCAAATGCATTAGCATTAACCTCGGTACTGGCTGAGGACTCAGTAAATCAGAATATTTTCCTTTCATTGAGTCAGAAAATCAACACGAAAGAGACATGTTTTCCTCTCCGAAAGGTGTGTAAAAAAAAAAATCCCCCGTGATGTGAACTATTTAGTCATCGCTGGCGGAGATACCGAGGTTCTTGTTTGACTCCTGGGGTGTTTGGCGCTGTTGTCAGACGTGCTTTGTTGATGAACGGCCCCCTCATCGATCACAAGGCAAAGTGGACCGAGGCTGTGCACAAAAATCCTCACACACACTTTGTCACTGAATATTGACTTTTACTCAGTAATTTTCTGAATGAATGGGTGGTTATACACACCTTCAGCTTCACATGTATCACGGCAGACGCCGAAAATGCAGAGCTCGTTTCTCTCCCACTGCCGGGAATAGTTTAGATCAGAAGTTCACTTCATCGATCGGCGACCAAGCGAATTTCTTAAGCCAGTCAAAGAGGTTCTCCACTGGTGTTTATGTTTTGGAAGACTTGTCAATAGTTTGCCAGCATGTTTTAGTAATGCAGAGCAATAAGAACTGCAACTATTTCTCAATTTCTCATTCCCCCCAACGTTGCGACATTACGTTTCAGCATCACAGCTTGATGCTTCTGATTGTAAGAGAAACTGTTTCAACTCTACAAATCACGTCTTTATTTTTAAACCAAATTCTTAAAAAAATAAAAATGTAGGACAAGCCCTCAAATGTTCCCAACAGCCACCGTCAGGAGTAAGCATCCTCTTTATAGTTTTAAATGTCAGATTTTTGCCCTCAGTCTTATTCATACACTATGAACCGTATCTAGATCTATCTTTTTGTTCTTTTCTCCTCCAGTTGCACTCCCCTCTGTCTCCCGCACCGGGGTTCGACAACCACGTTCTGTCAGACAATGAGGTAAGTGTGTGTTGAACTCCCCTTATTCCCCAAACTGCCGTCTCGTCTCTCGAGACAGCAGCGCTTTACTCTGTGAATGCCGATGCTCCGAGCACTGAAACAAAAAGAGGTTGGAACTGGTATAATAGTAATACAACATCGGATAATACGCAATTAGGCGAAAAACCTAGCAGGGATCTTTTGGTACACATTCATCAGAGACTGTTTTTGGACAACTTTTTATAAAAACAAATAAGGGCAAATCACATGTGTTTTTTCTCTGTCCTTCAGTCAGCAGTGTACTCGACAGTCAACAAAACAAACTGTGACGATGCTGAGAACGAGGAAGACAAAGAGCACGACTACAGCAGCATCGCGGAGCTCAAAGGCCTCGTCTCGGCCTCTTCCTCCAGTGACCTCTACGCCACCGTCCGAGATATCTACGACCAACCCGACGAGTCCCCGCCGGGGGAGGACCCCATCTTGGACGCCACGGATCCCGGCTACGAAAGCATCCGCATCCCAAAGACTAGTAGCTCGGATGGCGACCGCTGGGCCGGGGCGGGAGCGGAGGGTTCAGACGCTGCCAAGGCAGAGCCCGACTACGAGAGCGTCGGAGAGTTGGGTCTGGGCCGGGAAACGTCCCGCCTCTGAGTTTTTCCCTCCTCGTCGTCTTCATGCGTGGTGCTGTGGGAGAAGCCCCCTCTCTGACGTCACTGCAGTGCTTTGTAAGCAGGCTTTGTGGTGCCACAGCATCCATCATCAATGCATGCTTGGGTACGGTTTATCAAATCTGAACTTTTAATTTATCAACCACGGTGAATATCATTGGTACTGGTCGGCCTGGTAGGAAATGAACTGGCGTACCTCAGTCATTGGGCATTAAACATGTGGATGACTGCACTTTTGATCATCATTAAAGTCCTCTTTTGTCTTTCTGACAGTGCATATCATGGAGACATTTAACAACACTTGATTGTGGAAAAAGATTAAATAAATACAAATAAATAATATAAAATAAATGTATCAAGTCGCAAAACACTTACAGCATTTTAAGGGTTAGCTGAGGACACGATCAGTGCCTGTGATGTAAAAAAAACAAGAATTCAGTGCCATATAATCATGTAATTCATGCACTTACTGTACTTATGAAGGTAACATTAATTGTATGCCCCTTCTGCAGCTGCTAGTTTCTTTCTAGCTTCTTCCAGGCGACTCAGTGTCATGTTTTATTGAGGTGTCAGATGGTGTATTTCCAGCTATTCTTTGTCAGGTTCAGCAGCACCGCCACTGTGCATCATGTGAATGGGTCGGAGGCATTGAAAGCAAAAGCCGGTCTTATATGTGACCTAATAGTAAATTGAATTTGTTATATTACGCCACCAAATAGAAATGACGACTTTTTTTGACTGCTTCATACATTTCACTGCAATCGTGAGCCGAGGGGAGGGGAGGCGGTGTCACACTCGAGGTCTCACAATTCATTTTGAAAGCATTTTTATACGTTCGACAGTCCATGTCCACATTTTTTTGTGAAATTTGTATTTATTTTAAGACGCATATTGTTGTGTAATTGTGAAATGTTACAGAATATGTCTGTGAGGGAAAATTAAATAGGGTTTTCTAGACGTTTCTAGCAATTTTATTTCGATATTAAATGAAAGTGAGTTGTGTGGTGGTGACAGATATGAAGGTACGCTTTCCACTGACTTTTTAAAGAAGTCATTGTTTAAAAAAAATACTTATTATGTGAACATATTCTTTTTATTGGTCATTTTGCACAGAAGTAGAAACAATTTCAAATGAGGTGTAATGTGATAAAATGACATAACATTATTAATACAAACCTATTGATCAACTGTATTATTTTTGGGTTGTCGTGTTCTTCAGAGCCTGCTCTTGGTACAGTGTGCAGCCTTCAGTCGGTGTCCCGGATGATTTTGAAGCACAAGGTGTAATGTCATGGTACTGCATTTATATACCGCTTCACAAACGCATCATCACAATCCAGCTATAGCTCTGCACAATTTGAATATTTTATGCTTTTTAACTTACTAGTAGCACTATGAGAAAAAAACAACATATCTGTCTGTTTGTAGCTTGTACTGACGACATGCCAACCAAGGCTTGTGTATACTTGGAGCACTAATTTAACCAACTGTTACTCGCTGGAAGTTGTATGTGAGCTTTTACTTATTTGTACAATGTCCAGAGTGGTATAATTTTTAAAATGAGTCTGTTAAGAGCACTGATGTATGTCTGCCTTGTCTTGAGGAAAACATGCTGTCAAATAGCCTTTGAGTCCTGAGAAGTAGTAACCAATCAAATGTCAGAAATATGGTACAATGTTTTGGTACATGTATTTTAAGAAACATATAGTTGTGGTACTTTTTTTTTTTTTTTAACTGAGTAAATGTGTCAATACTGTTGTTTGATGTTTGTTTTCAAATTCAACAGGCCAATGCTTTTTGCTGTAAATATTATATTTTAATGCTACTGTATCTCCCGTCTTTCCACAAAAATTTGTGTCACCCGTTTCACCCGCATCAAATATTTCAGCCTCTCCCGCCTTCGTTGATGTTTCATTAGACATGCAGGAGTTTGTTGGTGGTTCAGACAAAGGCAGCTTGCCCACACTGACTGGTATTAGATTCATAAATGATGTCAGACATTTGAAATGCTCTAACATCTCCGAGCAATGCTACATTTAAAGAGGATTCTAATTGCAGTCCACTTCCAGTATTTAATGAACAAAATGTAAATGAAGCTAATAAAAAAAAGATGTTCATTTCTTTAAAGAGGTCATTATCATCATTATTTACACTCCCAATATACGAGTACATTGTGGCTACCAACTAAAGTGGCTGTGTGGTGCCATTATTTAGATATAATGGTTTTCACAGAATGCTATAAATGACCTTTAAGGAAATTATCTGTCAAATGAGGTGTTTTAGTGCCAAATCTAACCAGGTAAACACAAATACCCTAATAGACAATTAGCTATAATCACGTATTCTCTCTAACTGTTTATCTTGGTCATAGAAACACACACACACACACACACACATTCTCCTTCAGGGAATCGGTGTGTTGGAGCTCCACTACTCCCATAATGAGACCATTTGTTCCCCATACAACCAGCAGACAACTCTGTGGTGACACCTGCCTTTGATCACAGGACAAAGCCTGTTTTGGAAGCTATGGCCGCTATCCGTCACTCCACTCTGTCTCGTTTCCATTCTCTGCATGTAAATATTTTATGACATGAATTGTTCTATTAAAATATATATATATAATACATTGTGTCTTTTTATTCACTGGGGGCACTGCCATGGAGACGGATCGTAATATTCATATGATTCTCAAAAAAAACATTCGGTTTGACATTAATGAGGCTATTTGTAACTGGGATAACATCCGTTGGTGTAGTCTCTCTGCCACTACGGCAATAACCACGACCAGTGAATTAGTCTCCTGTCGAACTTGATTTATCACAGCACATGTGAACTTTCCAATCAAAAGGGACACATTTATCAGCCATATCTTTCTTTCTCAGAGAGCGACGACTTGAGTCACATTGTGAGATCACACTTTAGGTTTCTTAAGTGTAGCTCACATGAGCGTGTTAGCTGTCTGTGGGTGCTGTTATATGAGCAGTGTTGAAATGAAGAGCACAGTAAAAAGAAAAGAAAAAAAGACTGCTGGCTCGTCAAATAAAGGTATCACAGTACTTCTGGCAAGGCTGACCTCACCATTATACGTATATTTGCATAGCTCAGCTATACGTATTTAGAGTTTGCACATGATGCACTTTATATCATCGTTTCATCATCTAAATTATCTGATGGGGCTGACTAAGATTTGGTTGGCTCTTGCCTGGGCAGATAGATACCTGTGCAGGTTTGATGTTAAAGCATGTTCACCCCAGAGCCTTTGGTAGAATAAACCATGTTAGCCATGTTAAGTAGTGACAACATAACAAAAAAAATAATTAATATATTGTGTTTACATTCACAAAAGCGAGACCAGTGCAGTTAATCACTTTAATTTTAGAACCAGATCATAGTAATTTAGAAGTCCCATGGCACCTGGAAAGTAGGCTACATGCCTTTAATAACTAGGTTACAGCATAAAGCCTGTCTGTCTGGTCAAAGTTTTCTTTTCCATAGCCTCAATTCCCCCTTTTTTCTCTTTCTTCCCTTCTGCTATACCCCCTCCCTTCTCGTTTCCTCCCCATCCTTGCGTCATTGTTTTGAATGTGGCATCCTCCCGGCTTGCATTACCTTCTGTCGGAGGAGAAGGTGGAGCGGTGGAGGCTTGTGGAGGCGCGTGCTGCACCGACCAATCGCAGCCCGCCTCGGCCGCCGGACCGCACATGTTTACAAGAAGCATTCCGCCGGTAGAGGCTCTGCTCGGTCGGAGCAACGCACGGACTGGAGCGCCAAGGAGCCGGAGCCGGAGTCACGTAACGGCCGTGTTTTCGACCGTTTTCAGCCTCTGCGGATGGATGACAACGTATATGGCCCAGCGAAGTGACATAATTCGACGTATTTGCTTCCGCCCTTCGATGTCTTAGTCGCTAATTCAGGATTAAAGCCGCCACTTTGTCAAATCGTGTACAAATGTTACTTCGGGTCCCGAAAGTGGTGGCTCTTCCGTGTTTTGCCGCCGCCCCCTCAGCTCGCAGGGAGCATTTGGGAAAACAAACAGGTCGAACGGATGGAGATTGGTAGCCCCGGTTAGATGTGGAGGTTATTCAGCAGCAAATTAGTCGCGTTCGTGTTGTCGATGTTTTGTTTGGGTGCTAACTCAAAGTTCTCCTTCAGTTTTCGGTGCATTTAGGCCGCTGTTTGGAGTGTTCGCCTCCCGAGTATGTTGCCGCTTTCTAACATTGTATCAGGGCTGTTGCAGCGCGTAGTCTACCCGCTCCGGTTCTGTGTTTTTCTCGACGTTGTTTACCGGTTTTCATTTCGACGCTTCATGATTTAAATTCAGCGTGTTTTTTTTTTGCCGGCTCTGAATTCAGCGAGACACTTTTTTTTTTTTTTTTTTAGACATGCATACGAGGCGTTTGGTGAAGCGGTCGATCCTCGGCAGCCGCGTTTACGCGCAAAGTCCGACGGGGAACGGTGCCCCGGTGACCGGGGTGGTCCAGGCTGTCAAGCAGAAAAACAGAGACGTGTCGTCGGCCGCAGGAGCCCGGTTCAGCGTCTACACCGTGCTCATGCAAGACGGGAGCCTCAAAGAGTTCTCCGAGGAGGAGATAGCCGCGGGGATCAACCACATTGTAGCCAAAGGACCGCTTAAGTCCAGCTTGAAGGTGTGTGCGTGCGTGTGTGTGTGTGTGTGTGTGTGTGTGTGTGTGTAGAGAGTGTCCCGACCGGCAGGCAGCGCTTCACTGTTGTTGTGCGGCGCTTTGCAGCGTTTAACCACTTCCTGCACGAAGCGCATTTAACGGTGTCGCCGCTGCCGCCGCCGCCGCTGCTGCAGCCACTTTAGTTAAATTTAACCAGCGGGGACAAAACCAGCATAACTCACAATAGAGATAATGCAAATTCGTTTGCATACTGCATGAAATACCAGACTATCATGACATTTGGCGACATCATGTGTATATATATATTTATATATATATATATATGGGACAAAGGCCTTGATAGGGCCTGCGCAATGTTTATGTGGGCTCGTGGGTGGGTAAGCCGAGGCAAACAAACACGCTCTGACTGCAGCGTTTTGGATGTACCCGGTCCGAGTTTTTTTTGCACATAGGCTCATGATTTTTATGCATCATATTTAATACAAACACTTTCATGAATCATGCCTTTGAATTGCACAAATGCACTGAAAGAATGTATTATATTTTTGGACATTTTCATTGATGGATGGTGCTGCAGCTTGTCGCCCTGTTGAATATTATATGGCTTTATGTGAACTAATTCTGCACAACAAGGCTGTTATTGTTGAACAATGGCTAAATATAGATGTTCTTTTGGGGGGGGGGGGGCTTCCTGTGACATTTTGAGGCAGAATGTTTAATTAAGTTTCCAATGATGTCCAAATATGTAATCCTGATATGGCCTTAATTAGCAGTGACCTAATTGCCTTCCTTTCCAACTTGTATGCTTTGGTGTCACATGGCCTCAGATAAAGATTGTGTGCATATATTGTCCAAATCCAGCTCTTGGATGGAAACATAGTTTTTGACATCGGGGAAGTGTGTGTGTGTGTGTGTGTCTGTGTGTGTCTGTCTGTGTGTCTGTCTGTGTGTTCTGTATAGTGAGGGAGTGACGCATGTGACCGAATAACGGCTTGTTTACTTCTTCGCTGGCTCGTCTCCTGATTTAGATTTATTTTGAATGGCGTGGTTTTGTGTCTCCTTGCATTCATGTGTGCTATGTTTTTAAATTGTATAGATGAAGTAACTTACAGGCTGTTTTTTTTTTTTTTTTTTAAAGTCTTGTTTCAGGAACCAAAAACGGAAATGTTCAGCCGCTGTTTGTTACCACACATGCTGGACTGCTCACATTTCCTTTCTGTGAACGTGAGATACAGGGCGGGTGTAGCAATAACACTCTGACATGCCTGCAAATCTCAAATGAAGTTGTAAATGAATCTTTAAAACTCTTCTCAGACATGTAAAGCCGTAACAAAGAGAGATGCAACAGCTCTGCACGGAGAGCTGTCAGAGCAGTGATGGGGAGATGCATTTGTAAACTTGGGCTCTCTTGTTTTTGCATTTGCACGTTAGTGTATGCAGTGGTGCGCACTCAACAAAAAGCTGTTGCACAATACAGTCACTGGTGCAGGCTGGAGGGGTGCAGCTGAGGCTGAGAGCGTAGCCCCGTCAGCACGATGGTCAAGACGCTTTCAGCACTCGATTCCCACTGAGGTCGAAAACAAGCCATGCAATGAGGAGGTGTGTGTGTGTGTGTGTGTGTGTGTGTGTGTGTGTGTGTGTGTGTGTTTTCACATGTGCATCTGTGTTGCTTTTATGCGTGCATGGATGTGCCTGCTCCCATGTGTGTATTATGTTGAATGCGTTAGAGCTGACTACTTTCAGTGTTGGAGTGGGGGTTGTTTGTGAGGGCATGCCTCCCTGTTTGAGCAGCAGCTGTACGGCCAACAAAGCAGGCACCCCCAGGTTGGCAACGGGTGTCACGCTCCAAAGAATCTGGACGCTCGGCACATTGCCCAGTATGGCAAACGAATGCCCCCTGTTCTGGAACCGGGGGGTGGGGGGATGACAGAAAAACACTTGTTGACTCGTTGGTTTGTGCAAGTGTGTGTTGTGTGAGCAATGTTGCACAGATCCCTCACTGCACAGATTTCCTTTTGTTGTCCAGGCCGTTGTTGATTGTGTTCGTACGCCAAGACGTGTGAGTCAATGGAGCAAGCTTGTTGACGAGAGCTGAGTGACTCTTTGTTCTGAAGCGGGGGTCCCAGGCAGGCAGGCGGGCCGGCCGGCCGGCTGGCGTCGGCTGTCCTTATTGGTTGGCCGAGCAGCATGAAGCACCGTGACCGCGGGGTCAAGTCTGGAAGCTGCCCCTGATGGTGTATGAGTAATCCTTGAAGGTCAAGGAGGTGTTTATGTACGCGTCATGTGTGCTATCAACACACAAACACAGGTTTAATATCCATGTTTAATCCCATTATCTTGTTCTTATGTGTGGCCTAATAAAGTATTTATTTCTCTCATTGGAAAAAAATACTTCAACATGTCGGCAGGCATTTCAGTTCTGCAGAATAACTTCCTGTATTACACTAAACGATGTCGGGTTCAATGAAAATATCTAGTTGTGCTGTTTCTGGCTAGTACTGCTGTTGCAATTTAAACCACAATTTATTTTGATCAAGTAACCACAAGGCCTGTATTTAGATTCAGATGGAATAATGCAGTTGCTTGTTTTTCAGGACAATCATAGTATATATTTGTGAATTAGTTTTATTTTTAATGCCAATTAAGCTAATATTTAGATAAATATCACAGTAGTAGAATACTTAATATTGTTCATTTATATGAAATAACCATGGTCGGCATGAGTTTCATATACAGTAGTTTGAGTAATCCATGATATCAATGTTAATTAGCTATCAGCTACAGCAAAGTAAATTTGCTAGCAACAGTTCTCAAAATAAATATTGCAGCTCTTGCCACTTCTTCAAACTGCGATTTCAGTAAAAACAACGATGGTTCAGCTCTGGTGTGACATCCAATGTGACGTCATCATCCTGCCATCATTAACATTCCTAATCCCGGTCACATGCATTAGATGTGCTACTGGAAAAATACTTCCGAGCAACAAAGAACAATGGGAGCTAAGAGACGCAGTCGGGCCCGTGGGATTCAATTTATGGTCTGTGTCAGCCTGCCTCATCATGACCTCTGACCCATAAAGGCTCAAGACTCTTTACGCTTGACAAACGGCCCAAAGCAAGTAGGTTATGAGTTTCTGTGTGAGTGGGAGAGAGAGAGAGAGAGAGAGAGAGATAAAGAGAAAGAGAAGGGAGATATGCGGGACACTCAGGGTATTTAATATGTGTACACACACACACACACACACACACACGTATGCACCAGCTGCGACACATGCAACTCACATTTCACAACCGATTTGGCATGCTTCACAATATCCTGGCTCTGTGAAAGGCCATCATTCATAGGCCCGGTGAAAGGAAGGAATTGCTGTTGGTTTTATCGGAGGAGGACCCTCGTCGTACACACAACACCTAATCTTTTCCGAGCCACTGTAATCCATCTTGTTGCTTTACTCAAGTCTGTGTTTTCACAGAGGGCTTTACGCACCACTGAGTGTTTGTGCGACCAGCCTCTATCATGAGCGATACTCGATACTCATTTCTCCTGTTTTTACCTCATTAATCTAAGTAAATTGTTCTCTTGGTGTATGTGTGCATGTACGTGTGTGTGTGGGTGATTGGCTACGGTGCTATTGCCTTTTCTACAGTCGGCCCTAATCGTGTTGCAGTGCTTTGAGATAAGGATCTAGATCATACACTCACACACACACACACACACACGCACACACACTGACATGCACACACACACTCACTGGCCTGCATGTCGTACTCCTCAACGCTCCATTGGCATGGGCAGCCGTGTGTTTCTAAGAGCCTGATGGCTTTAGTTCCCTACAGAGATGTGTGTGTGTGTGTGTGTGTGTTGGTGTGAGCGTAGGTGCATGCAGGTATTCATGTGCAGAAGCATGCCATTTGTTGCTGTCGTATAAGAGAAGAAATGATGTTAGGCTTTTTTTTTTTTACATTGCTACAGGTGGGCGTTTTCAGATGACAGAAGTGCTTTTATTTTGTGATTATTTGTCAGTGAATGGTTTATTTCGGTGGTAACTGTGTTTGGCTCAGTGATTTGTTATTTTGTGTATTGCAGTCTTGCTAAATGGAGCGTGTGATTGCGTTTATTATGGAGTTATTAAGTTGTGGTTCCCCCACTTTGACAACTTTGCCTTAAACTGTATCACATGCCGTTGTAAAAATGGAATTTCTGCAAGATTTAACCGATCTGCAGCTTATAAACCAGTTTGCTTGTAAGCCAGTAAATCCTGTATGTTACACTTCAAGTCCTGTATGTTACACTACAACACTAAAAATCCATACATTTGCTCTCCATGGTAGGCTGAGTCAATGGCCGATGGACTTTTTTGGCACATTTAAAATCACCAAAATAAAAGCTTTTATATCTCTTCTCGTCAATATTCATGCTGTCAAACATGACAAAAATACCTCTACAACCAAATTTGGTGCGTATTAAAGCGGTCTGGTGCACTTTGAGATGAATGTAGACCATTTTAACATGTTTCTCAGTCGTAAACACATTGGTTGTATATTAATATAGATGATAGGTTCAAACACACATAAAGCATGTTAAAACGCGAGTCCGTGTTTCAAGACTGGTTGGGTGGGTTGCCGACAACACGCACCATCACCCAGTCCTTATAGCCTATGTCACAATATTGGCTACTTCACACAACAACCACAACCCACCTGCAGTGCTACCCTGGGACTTTGTAGACACATCAGGTTGACTTGTGGCACATGATAGTTAACATGATTTTATTTGATCAGTTTCCAAAGATTTGTTCTTTCAAAAAAATGCACCATCAAGAAAGGTCTCGTATCACAGATGCATACAGTACTTTTGTGTAAAGTCTCGTTTATTTTTGTTCATGCGAAGAGAGTTTTTTTTTTTTAGAAGAGCTATCAACAGTAACTTGTGGTTTTCGATTTTGAAAACCTCATATCTCCAAATCTTCTCCAGGAACTAAAAAATGAACAGCCTTGTTTTATAACTATGGTGCATTTTTTAGTTTATCCAATTTGTTTTGGAAAATGCTGTTTTAAGCCCAAGAGGTTGGAAAAATGTCTGAAACCATGTTGGACCATGTACTCCTTCATTTGATGTATAAACATGAAAATCTTTAACAAGTTGGGGTCTGGGCTTGGATAACAAGCCCAGACCCCAACTTAAATACAGTTGGCAATTGTTGGTAAGAAGGCCTGTTTCTGTACTTTGCACATCATCCACGGTTCTCATGGTGTATTCCTGTACCAGCATTGTTACTAACACTAACCCACATGGTTCTCCACCTATCCACTGACTTCATCTTCTTTGCACCCCTCTCCAGCATAGCTCCAGTAACGGAGCTCCAGAGAGCCATAAGGTGGAAGGCGGCTCCCTCAGCCCAGAGGGCGTGGAGGAGCAGCGGTTTTCGGAGGGGAGGCGCGTGGGCCGGGACCATGACACCCGATCAGTGTCCCTGCTGGAGCAGAAACGCAAAGTGGTCTCCTCCAGCATCGATGTCCCTCATGCCAGGTAGGACAGTCTGTGTGTGTGTGTGTGTGTGTGTGTGTGTGTGTGTGTGTGTGTCAGCAATGCCAGTTCTTTGACAGCGAGAGTCCTGTCTCAGAGGAGGTTTAGCTTGAGTTCCCACACGCAAAGTTCATAGGTTTATGACATAGATATGTCATTTCATAAATAGGACATAGTTAATCTGGGCTGACATCCCATTTCTTTTCATGTGGTCCTTGAGGCCATTTTTATCAGACCACTGAATGCAATTTGACAGGAGTCCACTATTATTCCATTACATACATATTTTATTAAATGCCGCCATACATGTTGCACTTCACATCAGTGGTGTCTGTGTGTTGGGATGAATGCGTTTTTAGTCCGGTACCCAAATTGAGTTTAGTCTTAAGATTTCATTCCTGCCCTGAATATTAAAGGGTTGTGTTCAAAATGTCATTTTTTGGAAGAATCCCATGCAGTTGCTTTAGCTCACTGAAGCAATTATGGTTATTTGAATGGCATTGCCTCTGGTGTTTTTCCCAAAGGTAAAAGTGGTGCGACGCGAACTCATCAAGGCCATGAAAGTCGACTAACAAAGAAACGAAAATTGCATTGTTGCCCTCGTTACTGCTCCGTAGCAAAGACAGTTACAGAATAGCCAGAAGTAGAAATACGCCTGAAACTTGAGTGGGAGAAGCTTTCATGTAACACAACAGTTATTATGTTATGATGCATCACACATTCAGTGACTCTCTTTACATCGTGTACACACACACACACACACACACACACACACACACACACACACAAATTGTTTTTAAATGGTCAGCATAATCCACCACTGAAGCTGGTCCACAGCAGGATAATTAAACATTAATAGGCAGCAGTCCATGGCAGTGAAGAGCCATCCAATAAAGACACTTTCACTATTAAATGTGAAACCCCGTGAAGCACCGCGCTGTTAACGAGCATCACTCCCCATTACTTATCCCCGTGCTGCTGGACGAGTCCAATCGATGGCAACTTGCCGGAAAATACAGGTAAAGTCGCCATCTGAGCAGCTTTATCACGGCACCCTGAGCCCCGCTGTACATTTAATAGTTATTTGCTTTTGAGTCATTGATTTGCTTCTCTCTTGTTGCCCATTAAGAGGAGGAATCTCCTTTTAAAACTGAATCTATCACATGGAATCGACCATAAGTATTAAAACAGTCCCATCCTTATTAGCTCCTTGCATAGGGATTGCCATAACATTGATATATTTATTCGGTTATAGTGAAACGGCTTATTGATCATCTCACTGCCCTCGCACAAGTTGCACGATCACTTTATAATCCAAGTTCCTGTTTATCCTCCTATTAAAAACAACTACATACAATAATCCTGATGTAATAGTTAAGAGAAACCATAACCTTGAAAAAACCTGTTAGTGTGCGCACACACACAACATTTCAATAACACACCCAAGTCGCCTCTCTCGCCAAAATTCCAACAGCAATGTGCCAAAGTATGTTGTGTTTTTATTTTGCCTGTCTGTGGAGCATCATCGGTACAAGAATTGCCAGCCAAGCGCCCCACGGAAGCAGAAACACCCAAAGAGGAAGGTTTGATTAAATATCCGCACGATGAGAAAATATCCAAAGCCTTCGGAAACATTTGGATGGTGCGGCATGCCAGCTGAGAAGCTGTCGGTGAATTTAGAGTTTGATTTTCAACAGTGTGCTCTGCAGAGACAAGTTGAGTTTCCTCTTTAGGTTTGTCTACCTGAAGGATTTAGTCATCTCCTGCCCGGTAAGAGAGACGGACAGCAGGTATGTAAAGGCTGTGTGTAGAGAGGAGGCCCTTGGAACATGCAAAACCTTAAGCAAAGGGTACAACATGTGTACACCTGTTTCTAGCCAACAGCCGGGACTTGACATTCATTATTTTCTGTACAACACTTCAAAGCCTGCTACTCAAAATCCAGCGACCTATTGTGTTAAATCACCAACTGCAAAACGGGACTTAAAAAAAAAAAAAGTCCATTTTGTAAAGTGTGCCCACACATTCAAGAACATGGAAAGTTAATTCTTGCCAAAATTTTGAGATCAGGTATGACCCCCGAGCTCCTTTCTCAGATATCCCTGACCACAGCGCCATCATTGCCTTGAGATCAAGATCCACGGCTCTCGTCCTCGGCACACCTGCGACCGATTTTCAGCGCCGCTCTGGCACCGGGGAGGAAAGAGCACCAAATAACGTTTATCCGTAATGGAGACAAGGGGGGAGAAAGAGGGAGGGAGGGAGGGAGTAACAAGGTAAAAAAGTGAAGGAAATGTTTGAGTGTGGAGAGGAGGCTGAAGGAGATGGAGAGAGCATGTGTGTGTGTGTAGCTGTGAGGATAACGGCAGAAGAGGAAAGAGAGGGAGAGGATGCCTGAGGATTTTTTTTTTTTTCCAGATCTAACTCTCCAGAGAAGTGTGACCTTGAGGTTGTTAATTGCACTCTGGAAAGTTCCCTCTCTGCTGGTGATTTACCAAGAAGATGTCTGGCTGTTTGATGGCTGTGCAGGTCCCTTGAAACCCAGATACTATAGGTTCCCCCCCTCACGGGGAGCCACTGAAGCACCTCGATGCCTCGTCCGCAATCATTGGGAAGGAAGAGGAAAAATGACAATGTGCCGTATAGACGTTAGACCTCGGGGGCGTTTTGTGTTGCGACATATTACGGTTCTGTCAGCTGGTCCCGCTCTCATTACGTTATCGAGTAGCCTCCGTCGTCGTTCATTTGTTTGCAGCACATTTACTTCACAGATATTTCTCCAAAAAAATCAATGGGTGTCACTCCTTAATGGACCTATTTTCTCCCAAATGTCCAAATAAATAGTTTCCTTTATGAAATGTCTTTAAAAGTGCCGTGTGGTGAGATACAGAGGCAGGGATTTGCTTGCTGTGGCAGATTTGTGATTTGTTTACACCACATTTATTGTCTGATTGTCACAGTGTTTTGATTTTAGCCAGCTGCTGGGCCTTCTCCTTCATCCAGGAGCTCATGTCAATTGTAACAAGAGCTAGCGTGGTATACCCGTGGAAACGAATGGCGTGGCTTTTGACAAATAGCATTCTGGGGACTAATTGCTATCAGGGGAAGTGAAGTATAACCTTAGTTAAAGGGGGGAATCAAGAGAGTGCTCTGCGTATTATTGCAAAACTCCAAAACAACAGATCTGAGGGTTCAAATCTCCTCCTCAGACCGCCAGCAATCCCTCTGTAGCATGAAGCAGGGTTACTCGCGTTTCTGAAAATAGCTGAACCCCTTGCTGCTCCTCTATGATGTTGTAATTTCTTCTTTTTCTTTTTAAATACTTAAGTCCGACACGATGACCACATTTCATCTGATTTATGGTTTCGGATGACCATTCCACGGAGCTGTAAACCAAAGCTGGAGGGACTGATTTCAAAACTCAATTTAATGCCAAAACCAAACCGTTTATTGTTGTTGTTCCTTTTTATTGTTGATCGGTGTATTTGCAGATCACCCAGTTCACTGCGCTGAGCCAACCATGTGTTCCACACTCGTAGCCCGGCACATCAGCCAACTCTGACATGGAGCGAGCCCAAAGACTCCCCATCCTCAGCACAAAAGAGCCCCAAAGGGACTCTCGAGTTACCGTCGGTCTTTTGATAAAGCGCCATGGCTTCACAATCCCCTTGTTTGGCCTTTACTCAATGTTCTGTTTGCCTTTGTGGTTATATCTTACCTTTACGGAAAGCACTTTAGGTGGTATTACTCCTTTTGCACAATGTGTTTGTGGCAAAGGAGGGAGTTTTTTTTTTTTTTTTTTGTTTTTCTTTTTTAAATGAGAGTGTGTGCATGAGAGCAGTGTGAGTTCTCCAGAGAGTGAATGACAGAGTGAGAGAGATGCTCGCGTTTGCCAAAGAAAACAGTTTTCCTTGTTTGGATGCCAGTGGAGTTCAGAAACCATGCGATTACCATCTGAAAAGACAGCTCTGATGATCTCTCTCTTCTTTTCTCCCTCATTCACCGTCTCACTCTCCAGGACTCAATGTACTATTATCTGATTGAAGTCTGTGCTGCAACAATTTACTTGACCAAACTATGTGTGTTCAGTCGAATATCAGATTGACCGAACTCCACACGGCTAAGAATATCAAACAGGAATGTGCTTGTATTTATATACACAGCAATAAGCGTAACACAGGGTTCTTGTTGTTGAGCCATAATAATGGCTCCCAAAGTTCCAGACCTTATGGGATTTGTCATAATGACAACTTTAGCAGGCAGGAATGGATGTTGATGCATGATAAGAAAAAAAACGTTTTTTTTAAACAATTGGAAACACGTGTGTGTGTGTGTGTGTGTGTGTGAGTGTGTGTGTGTGTGTGTGTGTGTGTGTGTGTGTGTGTGTGTGTGTGTTAATGGGTCTTTCCAATAAACTGTTGTCTTCGTTATAGTGCTCAAAACTTGAATAGTGACTAGAAATAGATTTTTTTAAAAGCTATGAACTCGATCAGTGAAGATGGATCTTAAGTTTCTGAGGAGAGATTTATATTAATGTACAGATTTAGCTCATCACAACAGGTTGTTTCGTTGTCTAGTAAAGCCTAATGTTGTTTTTAATCTTGGCTTCAGAAAAGCCAGTAGGGACCAACCAGGCGTATTGAGCTGGGCTCGCATGAGCTTAAAATGTCTGCGATCATATCTTGGCACCAGGTGCATTTGTGTTTTTAAAAAGGGATCAGCTAAATCTTAAAATCAATTCTGGGAGCGTCGGGTAACCAGTGCGAACATGTGGGAATTAGAGTGATATGATCTCATTTTAGTCGGGGTTACACCGTTGCGGTATCGGAGCCTTTCTCTTAACTCCCACTTTCCATCTCGTGTTCCAGCATAATGGGACAGAATGAAAGATGCACAGAAGAAAACCCAGATAAGACAAAAGCACCTTGTGTGGCTGTAAATTGTCATTGCGATTTCCCAGCTTGACACATTTTCTCGAGGCTCATTACACGGTGGTCTAAGTG